TATAGCGATGAAGATTTCCCGTCGGTAACCCTTCCTTAGGAAGGATGGGTACAGATCAACTAATGATGTGATCTGTCCTTCAACTTCAACAAACTAGATGGGAAAGAAACACACAGCATGCATTACATTTTCCTATGTCACAATTAAACGTCCCATAAAGACACCCTAGCAACACTCTATGGAAATATAATACTTTGAATAATCAAATAAAGGATAAAGGAAATAAACGTGGTGACAGGAAAGTACTTATGTGGCTTTCCTACTGTTGCTGTTCCAGATGAATGGGGAATGTAAATTAGGAAAAAAACAAAGCTAAGAGGAAAATATTCCTAAAGCCTAAATCTTCTGATTAGGGAAAGAGTTCTCGCTTGTTCTTCTGACGTGCTGGAGAACCGTCTGCACATCACTTAGTTTAAACCCACAATGAGGGCCTAATTCTGCTTCTTGTCCTGCTGGTGAATATTCAGTCTGTGGAATGAAGACTTTGGTGTTTGGTATGTAGCCTTGTCACCCTTATCAAGACACAGGGGCCCTTCCCACTCCTTTCCTCACAGACAACACCAACCTCAGTAGGGCTGCCAAAAAAGTAATTAGCAGGGCATTTCCAGGCCTTTGCAGATCACACCTGGCAGATTATAAGTGATATAGGGAGGTTTGAAGGGAGCCAAGTAATTGCCACACATATCAAAGTAGTTAAATAGAGTACACCCAAATGATAATTGTATGGTAACTAGTGATTGGTTTTCTTATGTGCTCCTTGGGAATCTGCTTGGTTTCTATAGTTAATCAGTATACAAAAGCTGCAGCTGTTCTATCAGGCTCCAGGCTGCCCACTTCCCCTCTGCCACTCAGCCTGATCGGCTGGCCAACAGTGATGAAAGGCTCTCTGGTTATACTCACTGTCGAATTTTTGGAGCTTAATAAGTACTGTGTGCAGGAAACCAGGGATGAAGCCAAGCTGTACAAGACCTGGGCCCAGCTAATTGTAGCACCATTAAAGTTAGTGGGAGAAATCCCCTTGCCCTCCTTGAGCACTCAATCAGCCCTTGCAATGGTGCAATCCGCTGTTTCCTTTACAGACACTCTGATGTAATGGAGAGCAAAGTCTGTACCCAGAGGTAAGCGGCTCATCCCACAGTTAGTGTTTCAACATGCAGTGGCCATGCACTTGTACTGCTCTACAGTATATACATTTTCCTGTTCTTTCCATTATTACGCCTATGGTATCCAATGGCACACTGTAAAGAAATTAAAAAGCATACCCTTCGCCCATCAGGTGGAGAGATTACATAGTGCAACTATACAGCTTTCAGTGGTTAATCTAGAATGCTTTTGTGAATTCCTAGCTTAGTATGAAGCCTTATGTAAAATTGTTTTTCTTTTTAAAAATAACACTTCCCTTTGGTCTGACTTGCTCTTAAGCTGCTCTGCCATTCCACAGCCCTGCTTGACTGCACTCCAAAAAGCTGGGGGGGGGGAGAAGAAATTAAATGCTCCAATTAGTTTTAATCATTCCACACAGTGAGGAGTTTTTTTAAAATTTGTAGATGGTTTTCAAGTTGCATAAGCGCAGCACTGGGCAATCCAGTCATTTCAGGCTGGAAACGACTGAAAGTCACTCCTTGGATCTCAAAGACTCAGCAGTAAAGAGTGATTTACAACAAATGGCAACACTACACATTTTAAGAGATCAAGTGGGAAACCTCAGGGGGAAAATCCACTTATAAATCTCTCCTCATAGCAGAGTGGATTTCAGCTCATCAGTCTGCTTTTACCAAGTGGATTTTGATAATTGCAGAGCTACTTTCCTGTGGGAGTAGAAAGTGGTGCCTCTTGCTCAGGAAACTCAGGCAACCACAGCTTTTTCAGTTACAGCGTAATCCTTGGTTACATCTGGAAGAGTCTATCTTAAAAATGACTAACAGTGTCCTTTGCGGTATTTACACTAACGTTCCTCTAAACCAGCGTTTCTCAACCTCTGGGTTGCGACCCAAAAGTGGGTTGCAAGAATATATGAAAGGGTCACGAGCAAACTTTAAAAATAGATCAACAACATTTTTAAAAATGGATTCTCCTTTAAAGGATAAAAACATGGGAAACTGGATTTTCCCTTGCAGGGTGGCAGTTCCAGGCTGCTTGGAGTCTCCCATGCCCTATACACCCCCCCACTGCCCCACACACCCAGCTCCTGCCCCACACGCTGGGGGTATGGGGCCGGGGGGCGGAGGGCAGCGGGTCAGGAGTGAGGGGCACTGGGTCAGGACTGGTCATTGATGTACAACTGGGTCCTCGTACAAAACTGGTTGAGAACCACTGCTGTAAACTAACGTTCCTCTGAGCAACCGCTCATGTTCCTCTAACCAGCCACAAGAAGCACTCCGTTCTTAGCTTGAATGATCTGATTCTTCTTTGCTTGATAATTAACAGCCTGTGCTATATACTTAATAAAACTTGAAAGAATCGGCATGTTTCTCTTCACGTAGGAGGGAGCAGCGTGCTTCTTAGAGATGCTGAACTCCCACTGATACCATCCCCGTCAGCACCTCTGCCCAACAGGCCATAAAAGGATGGCTGCTTTTCTCTCTGCACGGTTAGAGTTGCCCTGGCTATGTTACTACAGACATATGGCAGCACCTTTGAATTTCCTTGGAACAAGGCAACTGCCAAAACCTGCATTTCTATTAACTGTTAATGACTGCACTGTGTATTGACTTTGGCACTCAGAAATCTTAGCTCCAGTTGATTTCATTGGCACTCAGTGCCATAGAGGAACAGGTCCCTATTGTCTCTTATTAGTGTGGCGATTATTTTTCCTTCCCCCCAAAAAAGGATAACCTTGCATACCAACCATAAAGGATGGTGTTATAGGAGGGAACGGGCTGTTGCTTGGGCCACAGAGTATTGCTCCACCTCTTGGATACCATTAGGTCCTGACAGCAAAACCTTGCCCAGCAAAAACATACTGATCACCGCTGACTCATTTGCTGTCTCTTTGCTCAGAGCAAAACAGCCTCCCATTAAAATGCCTGGCAGTCCTGCAGCATATAAGCAAGCTGGTGTAAGCAGCCTTAGAGATATTCTTTTTAATCCACCCATTTTTAATGAGCTTTCTCAGCCAGCACAAAGGAAACAATAAGAAAAACATCTTCTGTCTCAGTTACCAACCTGGCTATCCAGTCCAAGCAACAGAAGCATAATAAAAAAAAGGATTGCCCAGAAGGTGGGCAGCGGCATCATGGACACAGCCTTTGGGTAGGCGATGAAGGCCAGGCCTGGACCTAGAGGAGAAAGAGAAAATAGGATGGGGGAAAAGGGAATAGACATAGTAAGTAAGCAACTCGTCCGCAGGGGTAGGCACACTCAAATGCAGGGATGCCTGGTTCCCTTCAGATAAATCCAAACGCAGCTGGAAATACCAGAAGTGAAAGTTTGGCTCTTTTATCTGACAAAGAAGCACGCATGACTACAGCAGAAACCAAAAGCAAACCCAAAAGCCATTGCTAACCGACTGCCAGTTTTAACACCTGTCTCAAACATGCCAATCATGGATCATTTCCTGCGACTGTCAGTCACAAAACGTAACAGTAATAGAGGCAACTGCTCTAATAAAATGGCTGAATCCCATTTCTAGCATGCACAATACCCATGCGGCATTTGTATGTGGGGAACGAAAGAGGATGCTGCCTCTAGGATTCTCTGGGACCTTCAACACTGGAGCCAGCTTGGCCTATCCTTCTGAAAAACCAGGACCCAAACGCACCAACCTGAGGGTTGGTTTGAGCTCTTGAGCTGTTGTAAACCATCACAGCGTTGAATGCCACAGAGCTACTTCTGTTTACATCGGCTATGGACCTGTCTCTTACTGTTTGGAGATAATACTGCTACTAATAATGGAAGAGCTGGGGGGGAAAAAAACACCACTTCCAGTTCTTAATGCCAAGCCACTTCACTCATGCTCCCCTATGCCGCTGGTCTTTCCTAGTCCAACCATGACCAATATGTGTCCTGCCAATCAGGAAAAATTGCTGGCCAGACTACACAAGCTGCATACACCAACAAAGATGGGAGTACTGTCTTGGCCTGTATGCTTTTGAAAACATAGGGTCCTATCTTAAGCTGAAGGAGGCTTTCCATAGCTAACTGATGGAGTATGTTCCTTCTCTTATCTGTTGGCCAGCCACTAGCAGCTGACATCTCACTCATCCACACAAGAGCATCATTGCATCGCTCTCCCGTGTTTTGCTTCACAGAAGGTCCCATGTTATGCCAGGCAGGTTGCAGATGGCTGTGAGCCATCACTCATGAGAACTTTTGTAAAGAGTGCATGCTATCTCCAGGCAGGAGACAGGGACACTGGGAACATGAGGCTTGTTGCCATCTTCTAGCTTTCATGAACTGTAGAAATTGTCTGATTTTTTTGTTCATGTGTTTAAGGCGACCATGGACTAGCGTGTCAGCATCTTGCAGGATTGGTGGATGAATTCAAACCATCATTTTTTATCTTTTTTTTTTTTTAAATAAGAAACAGATATTTTATAGCTGTTGAAGAACAGGGGAAGAATTCTCTCCGCAAGCCTGCACTGGAAATCTCTATTGATGCTCTTCCTACCTCCCACTTTTCCTTTCCAACAAGGAAGATGGAAAAAGGAGCGAGGAAAAGAATTTAAAGAGAGAGAGAGAGAGAGAGAGAAAGAGAGACGAGAGGTGATTTTTTTTAATTAAAAGAATTTAAGTCATTGAAATATTCAAATAGAAATAAAAACAAATTAGCCAACAATTGAGTTACTAATTTTATTGCGTTAATTTTTTAAAAATGAAACACATCTAAGGTTTTATGTGACAGAAGGCACCAAAAAAAAAAAATTAAAAAATAGCCGAGTATCTAAAATATCCAGGGTTTTGTTTGTCCCTCAGTTCCAGGAAACAGTCTTCCCTTGGTAGAAACTGAATACTCAGTTACAACTTCTACTATATTACATATGTCATCAGGTTGCGCAAATGATGAGACAGATGTAAAGCTGCTACCCTCTCTGAATGCGTGTGTATTGTTGCTGAGTGAAAGTGTTTCCGTGTAGTGTTAATTTCCAATGACAAGCATCCTATGCTCTGAGCTATTTTTAATTTTCCTTTGAAAGCAAATATTGAAATGTAAAAAGAAATGTCCATGTGAAATAACACATTTCTAGCATCCATTTGATTTAATGTAAATCGTTTAAAAATGTATTTAATTTGGAGCTATGTTCCACTGAATAATTATCTCGATCAACTGCACTACGTTCATGGCTATTGTTAAAAGCTTATTAGAATGGCAGTACAATAATCATAGTCCTTTTGTTGGGCGGGTGCCAACTAAATGCCAAATCACAGCTGGACGGATACCCAGTGGGCAGACCCAACTGTGGATAGTAGACAGTTTGCTATAATACAATATGGAGGACAAGGCTTCTCTGTCAGCTTAACAGGCATTAAGAGTCAGACCTGATTACTCCAAAACAGTTTGCAAATGGCATTAAAATAAGGAAGGCTTGACATTACTCTATCACTGGGATGTATTTGCAGATGCAGTAAAGCCACACATGCAGACAAATCCAGCACAGACTAGCCAGACTTCCCTGTGCTGCACTTGTTCTCCCATTGCATTTCTTTGGCTTTAAGCCATTTCTTAAAATAGCACATTGTTGGAAAAAATAAAGGAGAAAAATGGACTTTTTTAAAGAAGCAGGATCTTGGGCATTCAACCCTAGTGTAACTCAATGAAATCACTGAGTGTCTCTCTCATTCAAGGATAGGAGTAGCTACCATATATAGAAAGTTACCCATATCCTACCTGGAGAGTATTCACTTCGGGAATATTACACAAGGGATGAATCTGGCAGATGGAGTTGCTATGCAGCAGTGTGATAATGAGGTTTTGCTCCAAAGAACATACCTGGGCTAACCTTACTCACAAAAGTAGCAACAATGAAGTCAACAGAGCCACAAGTGTGAGCAAGCCAAATGTGGGATCTAACTGTCCGGGAGGAAAGAGAATGGAGGAATAATCTCACTGGTCAATGCACAACGTTGCTCATCGAGGGATGCTCCTCACCTCAGACTGCACCGCTCACTGGTCCTCTCTCATTTTCCTACCCAGAAGAATAGGCCTAGATTTGCATATTGCTAACATAAGGGCAACATTTATTCTGAGGAGGACAATCCAGATCTAATTAAAGTTCTGTGTGCTGGTGATTGGTGTCAGGTAGCCTCACTCGAAAAGTGAAGTCATCTTTTTGGCACAGAACAGGACAGCTGCTGTCATCACATCTTGGAGGAGTGAGAGGGGTAGATTAGCCTCCCTGGCTTATTCAGCCCCTAGCTGCTCTGATTAGAAAGGTAACAAATGTAATAATCAGAAGCAGCTCTGACAGTGGTTATTGTGATATGGATGCAGATTCATTAGAAGCTTGCCTCCAACCACAAAATTAAGCTGTGTAGTTCAATGAACAGCCATCAGTTATGACTTCTGACCTCTACCGGCTTGGGCTGAAAACAATCAAACAAACCAAAACCCTAAAGGTGTTCACAAGGAAACACGCTCCAAAATAAAGTGCTGATCAAACGCTGAGGTTGTTTCCTCATCTATAAAATGTGGATAACAATGCTGGACTCTACTGATGAAAAAACACTATCTAAGAACTAGCTGTTAGTTGTTTTTTTATTATTGTTCCTGTTGTTGTTATAATTATTGTTGTTGTTTCAGAAATGATGCAGTTTTAAAAATGACAAACACCAGGATAAAGGTGCTGGGTTTAACAGTGGATGTGATCTAGAATACTTTTTAAATAAGACCCGGAGAACTGTTTCTAATGGAAAAAGTCATATAGGCAAATGTTTGAAAAATTCTTAGAAGTGACCTATTAATACAGTGAGTGCTCTACTTGTTAGGACTTATTCCTCAAGATTATTGCCTTAGCTTGTTTCCTTTATGTAAAGAAAAATGATCTTTATGGGCTGCACACTGGGCAGCTGATTTCAAGAGTCGTGGTAATTTACACCAAGAACCTAGTAAAGAGCAAGCCTCATAATTTTATCATGCGTTTTTATGACATTTGTTGTTTTCTTCTGAAAGATCAATCTCCTGAAGCAGTGCGATTACTAGAAAGTCACCTCAGCTGACTTACTTAAAAAGCTTTTAGCCTGGAGGAACATTTGAGAACCTGATCAAAATGAACCCCAGAGGCTCAAAAATCACACAGGAAAGAAAAGGCATGGCAAATTATTGTCATCACCATCATTTACATTTCATGCCTTTTAAGCCAATCACATGATTTTGGGGGCCTGACTTTTGATTTTTGAGCACATGGGGTTGGCAATCCTGATCTAACCTGGCACATTTGTTTGCCATTACTGTGACAACATACAGGGCATCACAGTTGCCCACATGCTGTAGAGATGAGATGTCCAGACAAATGTAGTCTATCTAGCCTCATGTCTATTCACGGGCTATGCACAGCTGAACACTACATGGAATATTAATGGACACCGAGGAAGCAATATAACCAATTTCAGAGGGGGCTTTTCACAACCCTATCAACCTCACCTTGGAGAGCCCCTAAAATGTATAGACCTGCAACAACTGGAGTCATGATGGCAGAGATTTTCCAAGGAACCTAAGGGAGTTGGTTATCCAGTTTCCACTGCCTTTGAATGGAATTTGGAAAACTAATTCCCTCTGTTGTTCTGAAAGTCCCAGACATTATTTCTACTACAAGACTTGCCTGAAGAAGAAATGAAAAATACAGAGCGTATGGCTAGTAGCATTTTTGTCAAAATAAAGGTAGAGCAACAAGAGGAGTGATGTAGCTTTTCAAAACTGACTGACGTTTCTGGATTCTAGATGACAACGGGTGCAGTTATTTTAACTCTAATCTAAACTACAATTTATTAGTATGCTTTGGAGGATTGTGTTTGACTGCTACACTAATCACAGTAAAGTTTAAAGCCATATAATCACCAGCTAGCCATTACTGTTCTACACAAAAGCAAAAATGAATAAGTGAATGTACTTATTTTTCTGATGATTACGGGAAATAGTTTTCTCTTTGTTCTTATTTCTTAGATTTTGGCTGATTTAGTCTGCATCACTTTGCTCACACACTAGGTGGCAGTGCCCACCACCACTGCCACCAATACCATCGTACCTGACTCTGCCACATCAGCAATGTTCACCCCTTGCTCTTGTGCCATGAAGCCCAGGACGGAAAAAATTGCGAAGCCAGACACAAAACTGGTACCACTGTTCAGGCATCCCAGCAGCAAACAGTCCCTAAGTCACACATATGTCATGGAGCAAGTTAATTAAAAAAAAAATTAGCCCATTGTCCCTACTTATTTACATCATTTAGCTAAGACACTAAACCCCCTTGGATGGACACTTGCCTATAGCAGTTGTATTTGTACTTGTTGTAGCTTCCCAGGGAAGTCATTGCTCCTAAGCAGATTGCATACGAGAAGAAGATTTGTGTCCCTGCATCTATCCAGACCTAAAGGAAAAAATGGAAGAACTGTTAATACAGGCACTTCCCCACAGCAACCTTCAAAACAGGCAATCAGTCATTTAAAATATGCACAAAAAAAGAGAAAAAAAAAATTCCTTCAATTGAGACAGATAATAGGGCACAAGAGGAAGAAAAGAGCATCTCACATGAAAAATGACCATTTTTTAAGGGAAGAAAAATATTAGTAACAGACCCCACCAGAAAAACCTCAAATGCAGTCCAAACAGCCCTTCCCAAAAGGCAGCTTATAGGTCTGGTCTTTCTGCTGCTCAAATGATGCTTTCTCCACCATGTAACATAAATCGATCAAGACTTTCCAAAGAGCTAAGATCATGTAGAGGCAACAGTAAAAGTCCTATGTACATGGGCATCCATTTGATGCTCTTCATTTAGGACCTGCCTTTAGAGTCACTAAGCTGCAAATGTGATCAATGTGAACAGTTTTTCAAATGATCCCAACCCCACCTTTCAATGCAAGTGCAAGGACTAAAACCACAGAGGTTAAGAAGACGTGAATATAAAATGAGACGTTTTAAAAATATATATATAAGCAATGTTGTTTCTAACCTCAGCATCATCCTAATGACATGGGTACAAAAATGCATACAAAATTCAATATCATCATAGCAAGAAAATCTCAAGTTTGGATCCATCTCTGTCTGGCTATGTGGAGCCATACTCCAATCCCAAGAGAACTCCTCCAACATGTTTACTGCTTGTCCCCCCCAAGCTCGCCAGCATCATCCACCTACACATGCACAAGGATCTCTTTGGGAAGAAGCTGAAATCCTATTGATAGGGAGTCCGTGATGACCCACACGTGAAGCCAGCTCTGCTGCCATGGAAGAGGGAGTTAGTGAGCTAATCTAAATCCAAATCCTTCCTGTGCTGTCAGTCGTCACCCTGGGCACAAGGCTTAGGGCTAACAAATCACTGTAATTATATGGTACCAGGGAAAGAAAGAAATGCATGTCTGAACAGCTGGTGGAAGGAAGGCAAGATTGGAGTGTACTTTCACTCTCTTTCAATGACACTTTGTCTGCTTAGTTATTTCTGTGGCTCCAGCATTTTAGTGCTTTAAATCAGAGAGTCATTAAAACAGAAACAGCAGAAAAGAAAGCCCCACCTCCCTCATTTCTCAGACCAAGATTCCTCCCCTCATTTGCCTTTCTGTTTGGAGAGTTTTGCAGGCTGCATGTGATCATGGTGTGGGGAAGAGCTAGTGGGCAGAACTGTACAGGTTGCCACAGCAGCAGCACGACTAGGAAGGTTCCCTTCTTTCTCTAGTCAGAGCCTGTAAAATTCCCATTACTCAGTGCTAAGCAATTGTCTCCCACCTGTTCTCCTGTGTCTTTGCATGAGAAAGCTGTTGGCTTCTACTTGTGTAAGCGTTTTCATTTTTCCATTACTCTATTCCCTTTTCCCTCCACTCGCCTCCTCTCAGGTTGCGGGAGCTGAGTGATACAGATACTCACGGTTGCTCCTTGTTGTTCCATTTCTGAAGCTCAAGTGTGTCTCCCTTCAACACTAAAAACTATCCTCATTTAAAAAAAAAAAATCTCCCTTACCTTATCCAGAGCCTAACAAGAAAGCTGAGAGTCTATTACTGGATACAGTCTACAGCCTCAGCGTCCTTTGACACAAAAAGATATGCACACACAAACGCACACACACACACACACGCATGGAAAGAGGCATTAACATATTTAACAATAAACTTTCTCAACCAGATACATGGGAAAAAATATAGTTCAGCATGGACGGTTATGGCAGATCTGAACCCAGAAAGATCGTGGGGAGAAAAAAAGCTACTGCTCTTTTGGCACCACCACCACCCTCCGCCACCTGCGTCCCATCTTGCTTCAGAGTTGTGGAGTCAGCCCAGCCCCAGCTATTCTTATCATACCTGTGGGTCTGCCAATCGTGTGATATCGGGATACAGATAAAACTTGATGCCTTCTGCAGCTCCAGGCAGGGTCACACCACGGATTAACAGCACGAGAAGCATAACAAATGGGAATGTGGCAGTGATGTACACGACCTGCCAAGACAAAGCAACGATGTGTATAATGTTTACCGATTACTTTAGAAGCACAAGATATGCGCTAGTGCTAAATGGTGGATAGGATCCTTTCAACCCAGAACCCAAACTGCAGGCAGTCCTGGGATTCAAATTCAAATCCAACTGATATTCACACAGCTGATCAGATTCAGAGTTGTGGTTGGTTTTGCCCATTTCTAGCTAATGCTATCTCCCACTCTCCTGTTCTCTCGGCTTCCAGTATGTGACTGGGGTTTTTGTTTCCCCCAAATCTTGATAAATACAAGGACAAGGGGCTCTCCTGATCTGTCCTCAGGTGTCTACCTGTATCCAGGCAAGAAGAATACAAAGGACTTCCTTCTGATTCATGCTACCCATCACAACCCTGCTTTTGCCTCTTGCTGCCTGCTTTTTACTACAAGAATAACCTTGCCAATGATGAGTTAAAGCTTCCCCTGCAATGTGCTTTGTTTTTCTTTTCTGAATCTTCCATCTGAGGATGTGAGTCTGCTCATGTTCTGGCTCCATGTCACACCTACCAGAGGTGCCTATGCCTATGCCTTCCTTTCCCATGTACATCTATGCCCATTTCAAGTACTGAATGACACCTAGCAAACTCCACATGCACCCGGGGTGATGCAACTGCTGAGCACTGAAGACTTAATCTACTGAGGGTAGGAGGTTCACAACATCAAATGTCAAAGGCTTCTTTACCCAGACTGGCATAGCTCCTCTGAAATAACTCACGTGTTACAATCTACCTATGCCCAAATAAACTCCTCTCCCCCATCCCTTCCCTTTCTCGTGAACACACTGGTCTGAAATAACTGGGTTAATTCCAGAACAGGGTGTCCAAACAGAGAGCTGTTTAGAAATTGCAACTGTGGAACAGTTTCTCCAGAATAGTTATGCCACTCACAGGCACACAGGACTCCTGTGTCACTGAGTTTAGCCTCCTACTTCTGCAGGAAACCAGATCATATAATTCCTTTTATGAATTCATAGTTTCATAGTTACTAGGGTTGGAAGGGACCTGAGCAGATCATCAAGTCGGACCCCCTGCCATGGCAGGAAAGAGTACTGGGGTCAAACGACCCTGGCAAGGTGTTTGTCTAGCCTCCTCTAAAAGACCCCCAGGGTAGGAGCCAGCACCACTTCGTTTGGAAGTTGGTTCCAGATCCTAGCCGCCCTGACCTAGCCTCCTGAGTCTAGTCTGAATCTACCCTCTGCCAGCTTGTGACTGTTATTCCTGGTCACTCCTGGTAGTGCCCGGGGAAACAGGGACTCCCCCAATGCCTGCTGGTCCCCCTTGACTAGTTTGTAACAGGCCACTAGATCCCCCCTCAGCCTTCTCTTGTGGAGGCTGAACAGGTTCAGGTCCCGTAGCCTCTCCTCGTAGGGCCTGCCCTGCTGCCCCCTGATCATGTGAGTGGCCTCCTCTGGACCCTCTCCATGTTGTCCACAGCCCTCCTGAAGTTCGGTGCCCAGAACTGGACACAGTACTCCAGCTGCAGCCTGACCAGTGTCGCATAGAGGGGGAGGATCACCTCCTTGGACTTGCTCGAGATGCATCTGTGGATGCATGACAGGGTGTTGTTGGCCCTCCTGACTGCATCCCCACACTGCCGGCCCATGTTCATCTTGGAGTGTATAATGACCCCAAGATCCTTTTCTGCCTCTGCGCTGACAGGTAGGGAGTTCCCCAGCCTGTAGGTACGCTGCTGGTTCTTCCTCCCCAGGTGCAGCACTTTGACTGACCATCAAAAAACTAGCTAGGGCTTTTATGAAGTAATCACAATTTATTCTAATTTCCAGCCTAAATTTATACCTATTTGTTAATAGGTGGATCCAGGATTTTTAAAAGAGGGTGCAGGCACAGCAATAAGTGCTGCAGGGTTAGGTGCATCCCTGCTCCCAGCCTCTCCTTCCCCATCAGGACAGGCAAATCACACTGTGAAAACAGCAACCAGGGACTTTTATGAGATCCCTGAAGCAGATAAGAATCCCACCTCCCCTTCCCTGCCCTCTCATTCCTCCACTCACCCTCTCCACTTGTGTCTCGGGGTGCAGGGTGACCCAGGGCTGTAGGGAGCAGATGCACAGAGAGCACAGACAGCAGCAGCAGGTGGGTTCCCCTGTCCCTGTCCTGGGCCGAGGGCACACCTTGGGGGGAGAACCTTGCCCCCTGCTGCTGTCCCTGACTGAGCTTGGCTCCTTGCACAACCCAGCCATCTCCATACTTGCTCCATTTTTAATTCATCCTATTTTAACATGAGTGGCCAGACCTGTACATACTATTCCAGATGAGATCTCAGCAGGGTCTTGTGCAATGGGATTATAATACTCTCCTATCACTTTCAGAAATACCTCTTGAGACTCATCACAGGATAGTGCATCACTTTCTTCACAGCTGCATCACACTGATGGCTCATAGGTAACTGCCTCCCCCCCTTTCTCTTCCTCTGTTATTTCCAAACCTGATCTTTGAGAAACTGCAGTAGTGTCCCTGTAATTCTTATATCAACCTCCATCTTCCTCTTAACACATAATTTCCTATGTAGCACATATTCAGCAGTTTACTGATACTCAAATAAATGAGAGCCATGGCATCTCCTTTTTCTGGAAAATCAGCTACTTCATCCAAGTGAGACAGCTGGTTACTCTGACACAATCTACACGTCAGTAAATTCATGTTAATATTATTACCTGCATGTCCTTAATTATTCTTTAATTCAAAATTTGGCTTTGGCTACTCCTGAAGTCAGACTAACAATCTTATGGTTGCCCTGATAACTTTTCCCTCACCCTTAAATATAGGTACTGCGTTTCTTTTCTTCAGCCAAATAGCAGCAACGCTGGCTTGATAGATTTATTAACAGTTCGTACTTCCAGACCTGACATTTCATGTGCCAATCCCTAAGGAATTACTGGGGTGAGGCAATTCAGTCCCCTTCCACCCAGAATACAGCAATTTCCATAATGTCATTGCCATTTGCCATCTTGCTTTTTTGCCCCATATTCAGCACACTAATCCGTAAAAGAAAACTGAGGAAAAGTATTGATTTGGGGGTGGGGGGCATATCTAAACTATCTTTAACCTCTCCTTGTATTTCCCATCACAGAAGATCTACCTTTCTCTTTCCTTGCTATCTTTTAATGACTATGGCTGAAGACCTTTTGTTCTTCAATATTTTTTAGGTTCTGAAAGTCTAATTCAGATGGATTTCTGCCTATTTTCACTTTATTCCCAGGCTTCCTGAGCTCTAAGACATCGCTTTCTCTGCTGATCAGGCTTTCCTCTACTCTTGTAGGCTCTCTGCCCAATTTCCCCTGTGCAGATGAGCCCTAACATTACCCTGTCAGTCAATCTTTGATTTCCAAATGGGATTTACTCTTTCTTTTTTAAATGCAGTCAGATGTTTCCACCAGGTATTTTTACATGACAGCTCCACTGCTTTGTTTGAAAGATATTTTTGTTTATCAGAATTTGTTTAACCACATCAAAGCTCCTGAGAGGCATCATCTGCTTTTTAAGTGTGTCCTCTGAGGGTAACCAGGAGAAATCAAAGCCAGCATCACCATAATAACTCTCACAGTCAGTCTGATTTCATAAAACTTAGAGGAAACCTTTTCATCTATGTGTTTTTCCCTTTTCCTCTTGGAACATGGTTATATTTTGCACTGACAAGAAAACTAATTTAACTTTAGCCCAGTTTCAGATGAAAGCTTTGGAAAAGGCATTTACTTTTTTGCTTTGTATGATCCTTTAGTACTGCATCGGATTTCCTACCCTGTAAAGAGAAGTCCACAGTGTAATGCTGAATTCCTGTGAAGGCATACATACCCTGCTTGTAGAGCAGATGTGATTCTCGTGGACCAGGATTTATTTATATATCTTATGAAAGATTTATTAAATACATATATACAATCAATCAATCTAAATATATATAGATATAGATATATAGATATATACATATATACATATATCTATATCTATATCTATATATATATATTTGATTGGTATGTATCTATACCTACCTATCTATAGATCCATAAGAATCATTGCTGCTCAACAAGCAGGGTATGTATGCCTTCACAGGAATTCAGTAGTACAATATGGACCTCACTCGAGAGGGCAGGAAATCCCATGCAGTTCTTGGAGGAACATTTAGACTCCACTGTTCTACACAAAATAGACAGAACTCCTGTTTTTCATGGTTTTTTCTGTTTATTCAATATGGTGCTGCAATTTTTTTTTTAAATGAACTTTTCTCTCTTGTGGGCAATTGACCCATAGGAAAGCAAAAAGGTGTTACTAGCAACAATCTATAAAAGTAAACAATAGACTGATTAAATATATTTGAGTACTGTAGTTCAATTTAACCTGATCTAAGGCCAATTAAGACAATAGGAGTATTTCAATTGTCTTCATTGGGCTTGGACCACACCCTGAAATTTCAAATAAGACAGAGCAGCAGATTCTAAATCATTATCTTCAAGAGACACACCTAATTTTTAGGAAAAAAAGAACTTATTGGTTACTTGATTTTTCTTTAATATTTCCCTTTTGTTTTTTTTAAATTAAAGAAGTTCAGTGTTAACTTACAGGAACACCAGAGGAATATATGAGGAAGTAGGAAAGATCCTGCACTCTCTTCTACCCCTAAGGTGTATGGCAGTTTGGAAGTCAAAAGGAACACTGGAGTTTTATCCATCATGGCTGAAAAAATGTACTTGCCAGGGAGATGTTCAGCTACCGAGTTCTGTCCTGAAAAACCTATGAAAGTTCCTGGTAAAGCCCAGAGGTTTCTCAGTTCAGTGCAAATCCTCAAGTCACTAGGTGTGTCTACACATGCATTTACTATGCAGTAACTTACTGCGCAGTAATGCACAGTAAGCAGTTTTTAGACTAGCATCCACACAGGTGGGTGTTACAGCGCAGTAACACTGTGTGTACCGACTTGGGGGAAAAGTTACTCCCAAATCAGTCCACACAAACGGGGTTACTGTGCAGTAAAGCATCTACATGTGCCTTACTGCACAGTAACTACGTGTAGACATGCGACTGTACTCCGCAGTAATTTTCGGGGCACATGTAGACATGCCCACCTAGTCCCTTTCACCTACTTAAGAGCTGCAGATGCCCTTACTCGTTCTATTGTGTTCGTTCATCACAGGCAAGGTTTTGTCTTTTTTTATATATTAAGAAACTTGGTTAATCCTTTTGTACTACCTTAACTTGTAAATCAAACAGATACTGTGATCACAAAATGTACTGAGGAAATGCACATTTCCATTCTGCTTCTGCTGGAGAGATTACTGTGTTCTCTTTCATTTTGGCACTTGCCAAGACAACTCAATAGGTCATGGCAATTGATGGGAACAGAGAATACAAACACCTTCTGTCAGCACAGACTTATAGGTGTGAAAGCTGTTCTTTGAGGCTAAAACTGGCAGGACTGCAGAAGAATAATGCACCAGCTTTACTTTAGTGATGAGGCTCCATGACAAAGGGAGACAGACATGGTGGTTCAAAATTACTATGAGTTTAAAGAAGCAATAAATGCTATCCATCGTGGTTATAAGCAACCAGGTGGGAATTCCTGCACTTTGTTTCTTGTATGTAGCATATGGTTAAGGTACCACATCATTATTACCATTTGGGAAGGTGTCATCTTGGAAAGTGAACAGATGCAGATGCGGGCAAGAAGAGCAAAAGAAGAGTCTTACTCTACAAAAAATGGATGCATGCATAGCTGCAGATTCTGAGCACATTCAATCACTGTGACCTTCAGCAGGTACCTAAAATACTGACATTGATATAATTTTTGTTGACCAGGACGTCTCACATTTCACTGAGATCCTTGCTAAGAAAAAAGTACTGCTAAAATAGCAAGACCTTGAAGTTAGGCTTCTATTAAGCTCCTAAGCAAGCGGATAGATTTTTTTTAAAGTGCTTAGCATACAGTAATTTCTATTTATTTAAATGCATCTCTATATGTGACTCCACCGATTTCAACAGTATTTCACCAAGACTACATTTGGATTTTATGGGGGGCATGCATGAAAAGCACAGGGGTTTAGAATTATGATTTTGGTAGGACACGCTGCCCATGAGGTCTAAGGTACCCCTACCACTATGTGTAGCAGCCTTTGGCATCCATTTAAAAGGGTGTTTAAGATGCATTTATCTGATTCTTAATGCCATATTTTACATATACACTCGGCACAGAGGCAACCAAACTATGGAACTAGCCACTACTTTCCAATGCTGGTCAGATCTGTAGCTTCTTCAATTTTTGCAGGGGAGTGATGCCATTAGTTATTTATGCAGGAGAAACCTGAGGAAGAATGCCTTGCATGTGAAAGATTGTCAAATTTTATCCAAACTACATAGTTCATCCAATAAAAGCTATCACCCTAAGAAATCCTTGCCCTTCACATTATTTAAGAAATATGCTGCCTAGTAATCATTATGCTGCCAATAATTTAGGGTAATTATTACATAGGGGGACACAAGGCACTTACTTTCCCGGTCGACTTGACTCCTTTCCAAATGCAGAAGAAGCATATCACCCAGACAAGAAGGAGACACAGTGCTAGATCCCACTTGACGACACCGACTTCCTCAATTCCTGAGGACAAGCTCAGTACGTTGCGCCTTAATGCACACAAAGAAAACAACGCAAGACAAAGATAAGAAACCAGTTAGTCACCATTCTTTCCATGCTCTTTGAAAGTACAATCCTCTCACTTACAACAGTGGCTGGACTGATTGCACTGTAATGTCCCAATCTTATGAATACTCATTTACTGTACTGAAGTCAGCAGTGCTCATATAAATAAAGCTGTACAGAATTTTGCCCTAGCTGTTGCCAGGCCAATGTGCAATACAGTACAGCGTCTTGACCTGGGATCCTCCTGAAAGCTAATGATCATATAAACAAGTCACAAATGTGAAGGTTATGTACTAGAATTGCTGTCCATGGAGATGGGAGCCAGCAGCTCTATTAAAAAAGCCTTGAAGTCACTGAGTACTTAATTGTCTACATCACCTTTAGTGTCTGACACAGACTCATTCAAAAAGGCCACGCTATACTGTTTTTTTTTTCTTATTGTGGCTATCCTTGTGAGGATCAGAAACACCAGGGTGAGAAATGAATGCCTTAAGACGTGTGCTTTGCAGCGCAGAGCCTGGCTTTGTTACAGTTTCTGTTGCCCTTGCCATTTATCTTGGCTCACGTGCACAAAAACATTTGTGATGCTTGCCAAGGGAGGTCAAAGTCATCACAAGTAAGACCTTGTTTTGCTAACCCAAGGATATTCGGTAAACTTTACTTGGTTATTCAGGTTAAAAAACAAACACAGACGTCTACTCTAGTGTGGATGTGAAGTAGGTAAGAACGCGGCCATCAAAATAACATGTTCACAGGAATATTTTCTTATGCATTTCTTTTGGCAGTTTCCACAGGTAGGTGAAAATATTTAACTGCAATTTATTTCCTTCTCGTGTTTTCCCCTTTAATGTACACACTCAAAGGGTATGCTGTTAATATTTTCTAAACTGACTGGAAGCGGTCACACCTGATATTTACCCTGCTCATTGTCTACACAAAAGACCAAGTCCTCTTCTGCCTATTTACCTAGGCAGAGCTCCTGTCAAAACAAGCAGACTAAATTGTACTCACTCAGGCAAAACTTTCCCTATAGTCACAGAGAGTTTTGACTGAGTTCAAATGGTAGGAAGTTGCTCAAGGTCTAAGATAAACTGACTTGCTGCTTCTGAGTTTTGTCTTCACCCAACTACGAGGGTCAGAAGCCATCCTCTCCCGACTGGGCTGAAGGGCAAAGAACGTGCTAGTGCAGCCTGCTGGCACAGGGGAAGGCTTCACTACCAACAAAGTATTTTCAAAACTTGGAGCGTGCACAACAGGAAGCCCTATGTTTTCTTTTTATCCTGCGCATCCAATAATATTATTTTTTTTCAAAAGGAAATAAAAATAAAGTCATGGACCAAAAAGTGAAACCGCTGGGTACATCTACACGAGACGTTTACCGTGCGGATGACTGATTAGCTGTGCAGTAAACGTCACGCATCTACATGTACACCCCTTCTAGGCTGAAGGAAACTAATTAACTCTGCAGCAGGGTAGTACTTGGAAATACAAGTCCTATCCTGCTGCAGAGTTTTTTACTCCACAGAAGCATGCATGTAGATGTTCCCCTGACTAGGGCAGTGAAGTTGCTCTTTATTTGGTAGCAGTGAAGGGCTCTATACGATATATTTTTTTAGTTGTCTTTCTCCCTTGCTGTCCTGGGTCATCCTGCTCTACCAAGGCAGAATGCCTCAAAGAGCCAATTGAGTACTCATCACTGCAGTGTTACTGTTAAATTATATTATGCTGTAAACCAAAAGCCACGTGTCTGCAGCAGAAGCCCCTCAGTCTGGATCTGTAATACTTCTGACATTCCTGGCGAGGGAGGAGTAAGTGCTGTATTGATCCTTAGTTCGCTGATAAGGACAAATCTCCATTTTTCTTTCCCCTAAGCCTGCTTGCACCTGAAACTCAGGACAACTTAGCTCACTGAACTAATTTAATCACATTCCTGCATGATTTATTCTCACTGTCGTTGATACGTGCATTCAGTGGGATACCACCGATATCAAATACTATGAGATAGCAAATACAGCAAATTGGGAATTTGCTTCTGTGATAAACAAGCACTCTTGGACCTTATTAATAGAGCCAATATGGAGTAGTAAAGCGGATCATGTAACTGGCATAACTGAAGTTGTAACTGGCTCCAGAATGTAAATAAAAATAAAACGAGGGCAGTTATGCAATCCTTGATGAGTGTCCCAGGTCAATTAATCATGTGAAAGCAGACAGGACCTTTCATAGCAAAAGAGATGAAGTGCTGCTTAATGTAACGCTAATAGGCAATAGTAACCGATGCTACAGTTGGCTGTACAAGAAACTTACCAAAGGGAGTATTATGGAGCAAACAATTTTCTAAAACTTATGTTTGGCAGACAAAACTAAGTTGGATTGTGTTTAGTTTTGGGGTTTCTTTCCACCCGCTCATGTGCCAGAGCATGTGACAGGTTCTCTTACATTTAGATGAACAAGGTCTGCTGATTACCCAACATTCATAAACACTGGGTCAGCGTCAGACAGTCAGACGTCTTTTATCCTGCCACTTTGTCTTCCAGCAACTACATAATGTAATCCTTTAAAATAAAATCTTAAGAAATAAGCTGTAAAACATGTGACTGTCAAAGGCAACTCCCCTCAGACAGAGCCAGATCTGCTTAACTCCTTTTACTGCTGCTCAGTCAAGCATGTGATTTGCACAGAGCACTAATTTGAGTGAATGAAAATGCCCACCTGTGCTGCATGGTCAGTAGGACTGGGAAAGACACATGTCATTCGGCCTGGAGTGGTTAATATACCAATAAGACTGATTATCTCTGTGCCATGTCAGCTTTATCAGGCAGTGCTGATGAGCCACTTCCATTTGCCATATTATAAAGGGCATTTAGTTTTAGAAACAAAGAACTCAATTAAATTGGGATTAACTGTGGTGCCACTAAATGGTATGGCTTCCTTCAAACACAGGACTGAGTCTAGTCTTGAAGCACCATAGACTTTCTGTTTGACTATAACTTCTTGACAACTGCGAGGCAAACATGAATGTGGCTCAGACCAGAAGTTTCCTAGCCGGATGCTTGCTAAGGTCAAGGGCCTGATTTTCAAAATAACGTCTTGTAGGCCCAATATGCAGGTGCACACAGAGTCAGGACCCAGGGAGGCTTTCAGACACATTCAGGACAGCTCTAGTCTGATTGGCTTGCCAATCAGATGTCCCGTCTCTTTGACATCATGTGAAATTTCCAGAGAAACCTTCTAACAAATCCCGTTATCACCCCTTTGTCTTGGGAGAAGCCAGCTCACCACCCAGAAATACAAACTGGGAAAGCATCTGTTTCTTAGCATTTAAAAAATAGTGCAAATGGCACCTGAAAAACACACTGGTAGCACTCTACCAGTTACACCACTCATTAGTGGACTGAGATAACTGGATCACCCAAGATCTACTCCATGGGCATGTCTACATGTCACCGTACGGTGACATTGCTATCGCACCGTGCTTTAGTACTTCCTTTTGGAGTACTAAAAGCATGGCACAGTACTTCCAAAAGGCTATCTCAGGGGAGCGTGCCACTACGTTGGTGACCACATGTAGACCTGCGTGATTGCTATGTTGCTGTATGGCAATCTAGCGTGTCACCAAATCGCTGTAGGGTGACGTGTAGATAGATGTGCCCTATGTTATTGCATTGACATTGGGTTACTAGTCTCAGCACTGTTCCCAGGATTATTTTTCCAAACTTAACACATGCCAGATATCTTTAGTGTTGATATCATTCCTGAGGGAGGTATTGGCTTACATTTATTTATAAAACACAGAAGTAGGTACAAGTTGATTCAAGGAGCCAAACTGGAATTTAAGTGGGCTGAAGAAGCCAAGCTGGGACAGAACCAAAGGCTACACTTAATAATTAACCACCTGTGAAAGCCAAGTGAGTAATTACTCTCTTCTGAACCCGCCTGTGGGTTTTATATCCCCCCAGACCTCCTCTGCAGCCTGCTTTTCTGATCTTTTTTGGTGTCCAAGTATAGCACACAGTTGGTAGAGGGGCCAGTCCATTCAGAAACCGGGTTGTGCAAAAAACAGTTTGTAACATGAAATGTGGGGATGAGAAATGGGAATGAGAAGCCATAAGCCTAATGAATCCCAGGTTTTGGCAAAAACAAGCTCTTCTTCAACACTGTACAGCAAGCTGTCGAAAGAAAAAAAAATCTCTGAAAGCTGCAATATGGGGCAATGTCTAATATCTTTTCAAGTTTTCTTTGCCAGGTTTGATTGCTGGCATCTTTGCCAGGTTAAGAAGAGATTTGTTATTCACAGAGAATGTGTGTTTGTAAGAAAGGAAGAGGGTGAGATACAGCAGTATAGTTAATAGTCTCTCATTGTTTCCACTATGAACTGCTATTCTCAGGGTGCTGGTAACTAACTGAATGGTTCCAAAATGATGCTTGGCTTAAAGGAAATGAATGGGTATTTTTCAAAATAGGAAAACAGAACCCAAATCCTTTCAAACCAGAATGGTCCCTAGGGTAATTTTATACATTAGTATACACTACCTACAATACTTGTAACACCTTCCTCTTTTATTCCCACAGCCTTTCATGAAACAGAGGGTGTTTAAGATTGAATTTTGTTCACTTTTCTCCAAAAACAAAGCAGGCCTCAAGAGCTGACTGACTGAAAATTGATCCTTCTGCATCCACTCTGATCATTTTACCTGGTTTTTGCACAGTGCTGAGAATTAGAAGCCATCTCATGTGTCATCTCAACAGATTTAGTGACATCCACAGTGCTGTGCACTCATGCAGAAAGTCTCAATGTAAGCTTGTCTGGACAGTTCTGTGCGTGTACCACAAGAATTAAGACCAACAATAATGTCCAACAAGACTTCCACCTTTCATTTACTTTTGTGGGATTAAGTCATGCTGCCAGCATTACTTTAACAGCAGTTTTCTGGAGCCAAATTTCTGTTTTCATTTTAGGTTGGATTGTTGAAGCTGCACCCGTTTTCAGTAAGCTCTCAAAAGCTCACACTGCACATAATTGTAGGGAATGAAGAAGGTGACATTGTGGCCTTACCTGTGTTTGGCCACACCTGAATCAGAACCTTGCTTTTGTGACTTTGTCTCCATGAGTTTGGCCAGTATACCTAATCCAAATGCTGGCCACCACTTGCTTGTAATGATCAAATATCTCGAACCAGGCTGAAACCCAACCTAGATATATTCTCCCTACCCAAAATTCTCCCAGGGGTTTGGATCAGTAGTCTCACTCATTGTCTTATCCTTTAGCTAAAGTATTGTAAAAAAAATCCCCAAGAAATAAGGTTCTTACTCCCAAAACTCTGTGACGGGGGAAGTGAAGTTAGTGGCATTCAGCGACATCCAAAGTGTTTTGTTCTTCCTGAGAGTGTCTTCTACACATGTAGGTGTGTTCCATTCCTGATGACAATGAGCCCAGGGTAGGACGCTCTGAAATGACTGGAACAGATAGTACAGGCCCCAAGCCAGGATGACAATGTAGTACACGTTCAGAAGGGACACGATCACTATGGAAGCATAACCAATTCCTAATTGAAATAAAGCAAAGCACAAACATTTACCATTAGAAAACTCCTCAGTCTCTGGATGTAAAACCTGGTACAAGACCCACTGTAATTTAAAACCAAACCTCCTTAAAAATAACCACCCAGCAAAAGCACAGATCCACTCTTGTTGCTGGCTCTAATTAGTGCACGTGGTTACAGCAGTACTAGTAGAAGCCTCGGGCTACGTCTTACTGAAATCAGAGGTTGGACTGCAGGACAGGGAGACATACCTGGGTTAGCTTTAATCTAGTTAGCTCAGGTACCAAAAGCAGGGAAGCCACAGCACCAGGGACTTCAATGCAAGTTGCATGAGTACACTGGGTAATCACTTGAACAGGTAGCATGTGCTGATGTCCCAAGTGCGGCATCTTCACTGTCATAACCAAAGTGGGCTAGACTACAGCTACCTTAGATCTGCCCATCCCTACTACAATCACACCTCTCAGCTGCAGTGCAAATACAGCCCCAGATAAAAGGTTCAATGTGCATAAAAATTAGTAAAATGTGTAACAATTTAAATGAGAAAAACCTAAAGGCAGTACGATGAAAGCTGTAGTCTTTGTGCCGTTTGTGTTTGTTATTACTCATTAGATCAATGTTTAACTCTGCTGTCAATACATGAAGATAAAAAAATCTCCCGTTTGTTTTTTAAGCACAGGGTCATGGGCAGATAAGGACATGTCCTCCACAGCTTAAAATGGTGTGCAGGAAGCTGATGGAATGCAGCTCTGGGAAAGGCTTTTACTACTGCAGCTATTCTCTGGACCCGATGCCTCTCTCACACCAGTGTAACTTGGCCGTGCTGGCATTACGCCTGATTCATTCCACTATGTCAAGGAGAACCAGTCTCTAATTGTAAAATAAATGAAGAAGCTCCAAGCAGTGCTGCTTCTGAAACCTTCCTGGTTCCCAGAATCTGGGATCTCAAAGAGACTAGGTGTGAGAGATTTTGTATGCCCTCCAAAGACTTACAATAGGCTGCAAAAAATAGCCTGAAAAAGTCACAGATGTTCCACTCTGAAGCTACTCCGATGTGCACTGTGTCAGCACCTGGCATACCTGCTTTGTATTTCGCAGCTTCAAGATGGATTGCAACATGAGTCTTTGTGGCCAGAAAAAAAATTTTGCTCTGGGCTCCCAGCTCCCACACAGTGTACTATTTATTCTGGAGAGCTCCACTTCTTTCAGAAAGTTCAAACAGTTATATTATGAAAACCACACATTTTCTTTCTAGGGTTGCCTTGGACATTTTTACTTAATATTAAAAGAATTCCCTTCTCCCCTCTCTACTCAAAATGCCTAATAAGAGGGAGAAGAGAAAGAAAATGGAGGTAAAACCGGTTAATTCCACTGACTTGGACAGATCTATGAATGAGACCAGTGGCAGAGAATCTGGCCCGCTCAGTGATATTGCCTTTATTTACATGATTTCCAGGAACAAGATTCTGTTCAATGTAACGTGAACTGAGCCCAAGGTCATTTTAAGGTGCCCATTCTTACTTAAATTTTAAAACAGGAGAGCAGTGCATGTCTCTTCTGTGCAATCACTCTTCATAACCAGAGGCTACCTGCATTATCAGCCATTTTCCAGGGTTTGTCTAAAATTAGTCCATGTGTGACATGTGACTGGTGGAGATTTGTGTGAACTTTGTGGGGATAGTCCTACTTTGAGCAGTGGGTTGGATGAGACAACCTCCCTGAGGTCCCTTCAAACCTTCATTTTCTATGATTCTTTGAACGTTGACAGCATTTCTTTATTCATTGGCAAATTCTCCTTAGTAATTATACAAGACAACTAGGGCTGTTTTTCAGAATCTGTGTCATTATTACAAAAATTTTATTCTTGAATGTTTCCACAGAAGGCCATTCAAGTTTTAACCATGCAGACAATACAGATGTGATGCCAACAATAAGCTTTTGCATGGCAAAAAGCATTTGGTTTCTAGTCCAGGATAATATTTGAAAAGGCATTTTTGCAAAAGGATATGACAATAAAAGACTCTGATCAAGAGAACATTGAACTTCTCCAACCCTTGTCAACACAATGAGAATTTACCTCCAACTTTCTCACAGGCTGGCCAGACTCTTATTGGGTATGTCTACACGTGCATTTATGCTGGCTTAAATTTACTGCAGAGTAAATTACTGCACAGTAAGTGGGAATAGGCTGGCATCTACACGTGCAGACATTAAAGCACATTAACACTGTGTGTGGACTGACTTGGGACTAAAGGCATCCACATGTGCGCTACTGCGCAGTCACTAATCGGGCATAAATTTAATACATACAAGCTGCAGGTATCAATCTGATACCTACATGATGCAGGTATCAAATGTATGCTCAAGTTGACTTAAGTCACAATACTTACTATGTAGTATGGCCATGCACATGTAGATATTGTGCAATAATTTTGGTTACTGAACAGTAAATCCACATATGTAGACGTGTCCCCTGTAAACTTATTCAGGGAGAAATGTGCAATTTCTTCCTTGTTTTATTGGAACTTTTGCCAGCAGGATAATAGAAGCAAAATCAATATATCTTTTGTCCTATGGTGTCCCAGAATTCTACTTTTCCAGGAACTGATATTGGATGGTCAGTCAGTACAACATACGAACAGATGAACTTGAAAGGAATATTCTTATTCTTCTCCTGCTGGCAGGTTTTTAAGCAATAAATCCTAACAAGCTATACATTTTGCAGGTTTGACCCACTAAATTCAACAGGAACCTCTCTCTAGGATCAGACACCAAAATGAAGCAAATCCCTGGCTCGGAGCAATTACTGGCACGAGAGAGATGTCAGGGAAAGGCTTTGCTTTTACAGCCAGTTTCCAGCCTCTGAGAAATCCAGCACTTTGATTAACAGACAGATCTCTGGGAAAAGATGCCAAAAGCATCTTTGAAACAGATGCTCTGCTCCATCACTCCCAAATCCCTTCCCTGTGGCCTTCATCCCTTGCCTGCTCTCTTTTTAGCCTATATATTTTGG